ATGTGGGAAGATTTGCATAACGCCGCCCAAATGTTCACGCAAAGAAAGAAGGCTAACTTTTATTCTTGCTGTAGTATTGTTGCCGCCGCCGCCATGTCGTGAAGGCGCTGTGTGCTTCGTTGTGAAAGCGAAACTACTTTGTTTGGTCTTCCAAAAGAGGACACGACTAGATTTAGATTTCTGGTTTTATGTTTACGCGGCGCGATGCAACGCAACGCGTAAAAAGACAGTATAAGTCATTATAATCGTAATTATGTCCCCACTGGATGCAACAAATGCCTCATTTATAATGGGTTTTAATGTTTTTGTCTCGTCGCTCCGGCCGGACAGGGCATCATAATATGGTAAGGGGCGTAACATTTCCGTCACACGCTTGAGGTATTTGGCCACTCACAATGCACTGGATAGCTGGCCAATCACAGCACACCTCGCTTTTCAGACCGATGAGCTTTGTAAAAATTTACGCGTTTCAGAAAGGCGGGGCATAGAGGAGAAACAATAATGTACAGTATGTGGAAAATAATGTGTTTTTTGAACCTTAAACCGCATAAACACATTTCATTACACCAAATACACAAAATACTGTGTATAATATTTAGCAACATCATATGATCCCTTTAAACATTATTTTTACTCATGTTTTTGTAAGCAAATGTACTGCGAACTGAACAGTTTTGTGATATTAGGTTTAAATCTCAGAGAAGGAGACATCGTGATGGTGAGTTCTGTTTGTTGTTTATTGTATAAATAAAATACTGGATAATTCAGTAGATCTGTAGTTCTCTCAGGATACTTAAAACAATCTGTTTTAAAGCCTAAGCAAAAGAGCGCCATTCTTGGGAATCGGTGGGATATTTCCGTCCCCTGTGAGCTGAGTGTGAATCTCAGTAAGAAAACATGGATTTCACACTTACAGTTTAACAAATGAAATTTAAATATTTTAATTAGCATTTCTATTGTTTTAGATTATTTTTGATTGTGGTTATAGGTGTGAACTATAAAGGAGTCTCTCTGGAGAGTCGTGACGGGTACAGTATGGTTCCAGTTAGTAATCAACAATATTAGTAATACATAGTAATATACACTATATAGCCTAAACTATGCTGTACTTATGGTGGCCCAGTAGTGCACAACACAAATTGCCACAACACAACGCATAGGACTAATTTTATTGTGTTGTGCTAATTTCGCTGTGTTGCTACTTGTTTCTGTTGTGTTGTGCTTATTTTGTTGTGTTATGGCTTGTTTCTGTTGTGTTGCAACTTGTTTCCATTGTGTTGTGCTTATTTTGTTGTGTTGTGGCTTGTTTCTGTTGTGTTGCAACTTGTTTACGTTGTGTTGTGGCTTGTTTCCATTGTGTTGTGCTAATTTCACTGCATGTGTTGTGGCTTGTTTCCGTTGTGTTGCAAGAAAATTAACCATGGTTTTATTGTAGTAGAAGTGTAGCAACCATGGTTTTTGGCGTATTGATTATTATTTGTATAACAGTTTGACTACAAATTCAATGGTTGAACTATGGTTAGGTTAGCAAAACCATGGTTAATTTGTGGTTACCATGGTTTAACTACAGTAACCATGTTTTTTTTTTTTTTTTTTCTAGTAAAACCATGGTTAATTTTTGTAAAGTGTTTCTGTTGTGTTGTGGCTTGTTTCCGTTGTGTTGTCCTAATTTCATTGTGTTGTGGCTTGTTTTCATTGTGTTGTGCTAATCTCGTAGTGTTGCAGCATATTTCCATTGTGTTGTGCTAATTTTGATGTGTTGCAGCTTGTTTCCATTGTGTTGTGCTGCGTCTTGTTTTGTGAAGATTTCATTGTGTTGTGCACTACTGGGCCCCGTATGTACTGAATGTATAGTATACAACATTTAAATGAATAAACTCCCAGTCAAAAGTCTGGGCACACTTGACTATTTCCTGTAAAGGCTTTTGCCAAATATAATATTTAGACAATTACAATAGTCAGACAACAAAATATTAAAGAAAAGAAGATATTAACATTTAACATTGCTTGGTCACTAGGTGCTGTGTATAATTCTTCCATTTGTGTTATTTGACAGCTCTTGGTTACTTTTTTTTTTGCGTAAAACAATTTGAATTGTAGTGTTGTTAACATTACACATCAATGTAACTGTGTTATGTCAATGTGTTCTCTCAATTGTTTTTCAGGTGTTGGTCATATGTCGGTCGTACATTTGCTGGAGCTCAGGCTCTTTCCATTGGAGATGGTTGTGGTTTCTCCATGCACTGGGACTTTGGCATGAGCAATCAAGATATGATAGAGATGATTATTTGACCATTAACTTTGAAAACATCATTACAGGTTGCCCTGTATTTTTTTTACTATTATAATTTTGTTTTTAAATTTAATTGTCTTTAGGAAAAAAGTGAAATAGTCCATTAATTACTTACATACTGAATGCAGTGCCCATTTAACTAATCAGCACTTAAATAACCAATTCCTTATGAAAAAGCACATCAATAATTCCATCAGTCTTTATTTTCAGGTCAGGAGCACAATTTCAATAAATACAGTGAGAATCAGACCACCACCCAAGACACCCAATATGACTACTACTCTGTGATGCATTATGATAAAAATGCCTTCAGCAACGGTAATGGATCAACAATCATTACCAAGCGTCCTGAGTTCCAAGATGTGATTGGTCAACGCCTGGACTTGAGTGAATATGATGTGATTGAACTCAACAAACTCTATAAATGCAGTGAGTATTTCCCACATTGTTTTCATGTGTGGCTTTTGTTGTTTTTATAGTTTTTTTATGTGAATTCTATATAAGATTAAATTACTGCTGTTGGTTTTTGTTAAATTTCTTAGCAG